AGGATCTGGAGGGTAACAGATTGGAGATGGCTGGATTAGACCCTAGCCAGGAGGATGTCAGAACTACTGGCTCTCCTCTTAGGTTCCTTAAGAAGGTGCGATGTTCTGATTCCCATTTTATCAGTTTCACAAAAGCTGCTGCTGCTGTCAGCATGTTTGTTACCAGTTCAGAAGTGGCAATGAAATTCAGTGTGCCTAGGGCTAGTACATTTGGGATGCAAATGACTACAATTGTTTGAGTGCTAATTTTGGAGATTAAAATAGGAGCAGGTGTGTTTAAACAGGGATTTCATTTTAAAAGCATTATCAGGCAGGGAGGGGAAGCAAAGCAATCTTAACAGGTTAACTGTTCAGAGCAGCTACACCCAACAACAGTAGAAAGCAGATTAACCAAAGAGAATCAAATCAAGTAGGCGGACCACTTCTGAAATCAATTTCTTTCACATCTTTGCTGTCTTGTTCGTTATATAAATTATTTATAGATTTAATAAAAATACAGTTTCATAGTACATAACTTGCCATAATCGTAGGATATGGAAGAGTTATAATTTGAATATTTGCATGTTATTTCCACACATGCACAAATACAACATTTATTTACATGTATATCTTACAAAGTAGTTCAGATCAAAGCAGTACAGGTAGGCAATCACTGTCCAGGGGTTATAGAAGGCCCCAAGTCCCCTCTCTCTGGCCCTCCAAGCCCACTTCTGACCATGACTGCTGAAAACTGATGGCACAGCTTCTAACCATTTTCAGAAGAAACAAATGAGGAATGTAGTACAAGCCCTAAAACATGCATAGAGATAGTTTGGTGTAGTGGTTAAGACGCCAGGCTAGAAAGCAGGAGCCTGTGAGTTCTAGTCTCACCTTAGGCAAAAAGCCAGCTGGGTGACCTTGGGCCAGTCACTCTCTCTCAGCCCTAGGACGGCAAACCACTTTTGAAATCTTTGCCAAGAAAACTGCAGGGACTTGTCCAGGCAGTCACCAGAAGTCAACACTGACTCAAAGGTACCGTGTAGATAGATAGATAGATAGATAGATAGATAGATAGATAGATAGATAGATAGTGTGTGTGTGTGTGTATGTGTATTTGTATGTATATACATACATACACACACATACATATCCATGCATATCATTATTGACAAACAAAGAACACAATTCTTCCCCAGACTCCAGCCCTGCCCTGCCCACATGTGTATTCTGCTCCTCCAACCCTAACTATGTTACTTATTGCCCTTGACTATGAAAAGGTTGTACAGGCCTGCTGTAGGAGTTTGAAAGTTAATAACTAATGCTTTGCATTTCTCCCAGAAACAAAGCACAGTCTATGTAACACTTTCAGCATGGCATGATATAGTCTCTTTGAGTCCAAACTGGCTTCTGAGTTTTTTCCAGCTGAAGTTTCCAGACCAGATACAGACTCAAGCAGAATGTGTTCTAATGTTATATAGGTCACCCATAAATAACAATTACTTCTAAAACATGTCAACAGAACTTTACAGATTTGGGCCATGCACCACAGAGGGAAGAGAGAATCAAGTTGCAAAGGGCCATGACAGTGCATGAGGTCTTCCTATTTCTTTTTATGACATTTATGTGCCATAAAAGAAAAACATTAAAACTCTAAACAATTTGGAGCAGAATTCCCTGAATGATCATTTCCATTGTTGTCCTATTGATACTCCCTCTCCAAATCAGGAGTCTGGTAGTTCTTTTTCTCACCAACAAATTTTATTAAAAGACATAAGCTTACTTGAGTTTATTTCTTTTGATAACATCTGTTGGTCAGAAAAGGTGTTACCAGACTCCTGATTTTTTTGCCCCCATAGACTAACAAAGCTCTCCTCCAACAATCCCTTTTCCAAATGCTACCATTAAAGGCAACAACAAAGATAGAATCTTCTATGGAAATTTCTCCATTAATGATTAGACAACTACTTTACACTGTTTTCTGTGCCAGGCAGACTCGTTTTAAAGTTCCTCATCTTTCCAGGTTTTTCTTTTTTAAAATGACCTTTAAAGTCATTTGTACTGCATATTAATAAATTTAAAGTACACCCTAATTACAGGAGCACAGAAATAACATTTCATGTAAAAATCTGTTCCACAATTTCATTTCCCAAATCATTTACAGAAGAAATTGCACGTGGTGGATTGAGTGGGCATAAGAAAGGAAGGATTCAAATCAATTTGGCTTGTCCCATGTTAAAGTTCCTTCTTCTAGCTTTCAAGTCTGTGTCCAATTCCTGTCTCCTATTCATGACCTTCTGCAGACTCAGATATTTTTTTTAAAAAATGTTTCTTCTTCTTCTTGTGCCAATGCATCCAAATCGCTGTATAAAATGAAATCGCTGAATAGATCTGCTCCATTCATTTAAGCTTGTCTTAAGACGGAATAGTTCCTAGCTAATTTCTTGGTGGGATGATCAGGAAAATTAAAAGGATCCAATATGTCTTGTATCATGGATCTCTCAAATTAGACAGAGATTCTTTAACAAAAGCACTTTGAAAAACTGTAGTTTGTGTGCATAATTTTTTTCATTACAAATATTGATCACTTGAAATTATGAGTACGGTAATTAATCTATTATATGTTAGTAAATTTAAAAACTTGTAATAGAGAAAGGATAGTTAAAATGCTACTAATGTTAGCGACATTAGTTGCCGGTTCAGCCATGCTACCTTTCCCCAGGTCTGAGAAAGAAAGCAAGGAAGAAGGTCAAGATATGCCTTTCTGTGTGCTTCTGGCAGAAAATGTCAAAGTTCTTCCCTTGTTTATCGTTATTCATACTAGTGGACATTTTGGATATATAGCTTATTGCTATTAACAACAGCATATGGATGAACTACGAAAAGAGATAATTTATTTGACAAATTGACTGGTAAGAGGCCATCGCGTTCAAACCCTCAGGCTCAGTGCAAGAATCCAAATTAAACAATCCAGTACTGAGCCTCCACTTGAGCATATCCAGAAAAGGGGAGCTGATTCCTTCACTGAATGATTAGTTCCACTGTCAACTGTTCATATCTTTAGGAAGCTTTTCCTAACTTTCAATGAAAATCTGCTTTTGTGTAACTTAAATCCATTATCCAGCGGTCACATTCTGAATCCTGGTTTTCCACTGCCTCTTAGCTTGGCCATGATAAGTGCCCAAGCTAATTTAACTGATTTAGTACTTAAAGAGTACTATCATATTTTCCCACACTTTTCTCTTGCTACACTTTTTCTTCATAGGACATGGGTTTTTAGGTCCCTGCTTATCCTCAGTGTACTTTTCTGAATTTGTTCCTGTTTCTCTGAATCTTTCTCAAAGTGTGGTGGTGGTAGTGGGGTATGAATATTGTAGAATAAAGTGGAAAACTCTTAATTTACATCTTTTGGAAATCATACTTTTGATGATGCAGCCTATAACAGTATCAGATGTTCTTTTCTTTTCGCAGCCACATCACTCTGTTGAATCAACTCAATTTGCAACTGTTATTCCAAGACCTTTTCAAAACTACAAGTATCAGATGAGATTATCACCCATTCTATTCCTGCACATTTGATTTCTGTTCCGATTTTTCCCTTTCTGAACTCTTTTCCCCTACAATTTCAGGTTAATTCTACTTACTCTTTCTTAGCCGCTGCCCCCCCACCCAACGTTCAGTATATATTGGTTTTGTTTCGTTCTGTTCTCATATCTCCACTAAGCCACATTCTTCTGCTATCTTCCTTTATTTTCTTATTCAAATTGCCACAGAATCTACTTATTACTGTTAAGAAATTATTAAAATACATTTGAAATCTAAGATACAGATGACCACACTGAACTTTCGTTTCCTGTTAGTCTTCTTAATATTAAGAACTCCAGTATTATATGGTCACTTTCACTGAAAGTTCCCACTAGTTCAAATCTAAAACATATCACTTTTAGTCTGAGATGCATACTTGCTCTCAGATATGTAACTGTATTAAAGGTAACAGATTTCTTGGCCTTTTGTAGTAAAAAAAAAAGTTACATAAAACTATGGGGAGTCTTTAAATAAAGAGTAGATAAGGTATTCTCACAGACTTTTATATGCAATGCAAAAAGGAAAAAAAAGACATATTTTATCGCTCCCATATATATCTAAGACACAGTCATTCTGATTTAGAGACTTAAGACATCAAATCCACCAAATCCAATGAGAAAATTCTTTGATACTTGTAAACTGTAATTTTCAAATGTAACTCATTAGAAAATAAGAGGATCAATACTGCTGTGTGAAGCAGTGAGACTAATCATATTAACTGCATAATTCATTAAATTAAATTTAAATCTAATGTAAATGAAATTTAAATGAAAATGAAATGAAATCTTGTCCTTGCTCCATTGCTCCATTACTTTATCCTGATCCCATCTATTTTTGGAGTACTGTATATCTCCTAGCATGCAACTCAAAAGATAAGCGCCTTACCTTCAACAACAACAAGAATGAAAAGTTATGAGGCCTCAAATCCATCTGTAGTGTCTGACTGTAGCCTTGAATCCATATCCCTAAAGCTCTTCACATTTGTTTCTCAAAGAAATGATTAGGACAGTTACTTTAGCAGTAAAGTATTTTTAAAAAATCACTAGCTTATGAAAGCTGCATTCTCAAAGCCTGCACTTTATCCCTAGTTTCTAAAGTCAAGACTTCACTTAGGTAAAACATGAATGATTTCAGCTTCAATCAAAGGGAAGAGGAATCAAAAATAAATACGCAACACTGGGCAGTGTTAAAAGCCACACTGGGCAGTCGAAAAAAAATGTTAGGTAAAGTTTGTGGATCCTGTAATTGTTCTCCATAATACTCTGTATGATCTTTTAATAAACTTACAGGAACAACTATACCCATATATTTTTAAAACTCAAACAATTACAGGTTATATGTAATGTTGCACCTAGATGTACTTTAGTTTTTGGTCTGATAGAAGACAGCCTTGACAAAAACACTGCAACTATGCTAAAATAAAAGGTATAGTTACTCACCTACAACCTGGATGATTTCAGCCAGTAAAACTCCATCAGTCACATCTTGCTGCAGATCCTTTATTAAACGTTTATGGCCAGATTTTGCTAGATAGTGATTGGCCCAATCTGTATAAATCTGTGAAAATGAAAAGGAGAGCCAGGGTTACATATTAGGCACTCTGCTTTTTAAATCATTAATTTCTCACTTAAAATTAATGAAAGCAAGCCCCATGTTTGGCAGTCTCTGGAACAAGTGGAACAAAGTGTTCCTCTTCTTTTCCCAAACCAGTTTGAAACAAAGTTAGCAACATTAAAATTCAAGGCATTGTGCTGATCAAGTATTCAGCTTATTATACCAGGGCTTTCTTGTATAGAGAAATTTGACATCAGAGCAGGAGGAAACTAAAGAAAGCTTCTAAACATGCTACAGTCTGAATGAATAAGTTACCAGACATGGAACTAAACAGTCTGCATAAGAGACTGGGCTGGATTTCTCTATTGATTCAACATTTTCCTTTTGTAACCCTACTGAGAAGCCATATCGATATTGAAACTTATGCGTGTGTGCATGTGCATGACGGTGCACATGTTTACGCCAAGTTGTAGATGTAAACAATTAGGGTAATTTAAATGGATACATTCTTTTAAATTGTAGTTAACAAGAAATGTAAATTACATTATCACTACCACATAGCTCCAGTTGACAACACTTGTAAAATGGGTATTCAGAGTAAGGTTTGTAATATGCAAAGTGTTTTCTTTCCAGAACAGCTTAAAAAGTCTATGTATCTTGACAATTTCTCCTCTGACAGTGTTTCTAAAGGAGGTGTACACACATACAAATGTGCATATATTTATACACAAACAATGTGCACGGGCATATGATTTCTACTTGAAGTTCGAATTCTGTAATACTTGTGTCAAAGCTGTGTTCCAACTTGCTTAACTAAATATAAAACGATGTTCTTAGAAACAATTAAGGGAAGCTAAAAGCACCCTCCTTGTATCCCTGAAAGCATCAATGCACCTAGAAACTCTGCACCCACTTCTAACTGAAATGGCAAAGGCTAATATCTTCATGCAAACAATTTGAAAGTAAACCCTACCATAAGCAATGAAAAGAGATTCTAAATAAAAATATGCGTAAGAGCAGCCTGTTTATGTCCTTACCTAGAGCATTTTCTCTTACAGCCATTCATTTTAGCATCTCAGCCAGTGCAAATATTTTGAAAAGCGTGCTGTAATTCTCACTTTAGATTACATGTTAAATCCACTTACTTTATTTATGACTTGTCAGCAACACACTCAATACACAGCTACAAATATTAGAAAATAGACTTCATGTAGCATGCACTTAAGTGGGTCAAAGTCCTGCACTAAAATGTGATACAAATTTTATATTAGAAACGTGAGATGGATCAAGCTGGATGTCACAATTTTTAAAAAATGCAATTCTTCTGATGGTGCATAAACTCCTCTTTTCTGATTTGTCAGTTACAGTTCTAGTCTGTGATTTCTATGAATATTACCAGACTGGAGTATTACCAAATGCTATAGAGAAATGTAAATATAAATACTCTTTAGAACCTTTAGACATACACTGGAGAACAATGACTCAATAACAAGTCATAAATTGGAAAGAGTTGAATGGATGAATGGTGTTTTCACTTGTGTTTTCATTATATTCAGTTATTACTTATTATTTGTTATATTTATATCCCATTTCCCTCCATATATTCAAGCTGATGTCCCATTTTTTACATTATCTCTCATTATCACTGTGTGAAGTGTCCTCTTGACACACCACTTTTACATCATTTTGGTATAAAATAATTGAAAAAATTGCAATGAGCACTTTTACCATCTAGTTAAAATCTCAGAAAGATAAATGCTCAACTGGTCAATTATGTTGCTTGGCCAAAGCAGAAGAATGAAAGAAGCAAGATGAATGATGATAAACAGATATGTTTTAGAAGTAAGATGTGGAAAAAGCAGCTTCTTGATATCTTTGAATATCAAAGATGTCATTACTATAATACATTTGCTGAAAGCAACATTACTCCACCATATGTTTATTTGAACCTGATAGAATTATATGTGCTGAAAGAAATAAATACACCCTGCATTTTTGTTTTCTTGCTCAATATTATGAATACTAAATTAGCAAGGTCATTTCTCATTTTAATAACTTCTTACTTTATATTCATTGCCAGGCCCCTTCTTATACATCAAACTAATTATGGAGCACAAACAGAAGGCTCCTTGCTGCTAGGGGTTGTAACTGCCACCTTGAGCTTTCCTCAGCTTTGCTTTTCACACCTAGGAGTTTCAACAGTATAGTCCCAACCCAGTTGTTTGAGATGGAAAGTGACAGCATACTGTGATTTCCAGGGTTCCCTCTTCCTCTAATAAATGAATCAAAAGCTACCTAATGTTTCAAGGGGCCTGCAAGATCAAACCAGCAGTAGAAGATAGTAACAGGTTAAGGAAAATTGCTATGTTGGTTTTCTTTAATATTTTTCCTTCTTGAAGCTGTGTATCTCTGAGCAAAAATATGATCTTTTGCAGAGCTTATCAGCATATGAAGTTGCCCCATAATGAATGACACTGTAAGTTTGTATCCATAGAAACTCTCTCTCTCAGCAGGCAATACTCCCTAAGTTTTCAGGCAGAAAAGTTTTCCAATAGTAGAAGCAGATGATTTTCGAATAAAACACATAATAATAAAATCTAGTAATTTTGCCTTACTAGATATGACAAAAGCAGTTCCCACTTACGGCTTGTCCCCCCCCCGCCCCCATAGTTTCTTTCCTCAAGTGCTGTTCTCCATCACAATCAAACTCTGTTGATGAAATCATCCTCAGCTAGATTAGGAAGTGCTTGGGCAGAAGGGTGATAATTTGTGTATAGGGGGAGGCACAAAAACTAGAATTGTATCCAGGAGTGCTAGCCGGTTTGGTCCAGTTTGCAAGGACGGTTGTTATTTATGTATTTATTTTTTTAAACAGGATAAGGTCCCTCTCCACTCAACCTTGGCTAGGATGTGGCAGGCAACATGTTTAAAAGAGTGCAACAGCAGCAGCAGCAGCCCAGCCAAAGGCCCCTAGTGATGTCAGCCCAGAAGTGCTGGGAACTAAGTGTAAGGAGAAGTCCCACCCATCAGTGCCTGGAAAGCTAAGTGAGAGGAGGGAGGATTGGCCTTCTGTGGGAAATATCTCTCAGCACTTTGGTCTAACTGGCTCTCCCACTTACTTGCTCATGAACTGGTCCTTTCATTTAGAGGACTCTCCTATCTGTATCTCATGAATGCTACTGTCTGGTTTTGTATGAATACATCCAGAGATTTGAGGGTTTTTTTTTTCTTAAATTGGTAAAATAATTATATTTAAGAATTAGAAAACTGCTACAAGATCACAATTGCATCTAACAATTGCACGACGACTATTTTATATACAGACTTTCACATGCACTTTTCATATTTCAGATGTGAATTCAGGGCGTGACACATCAATACTGCTTTTGCAAATATAACCCAGCATTTTTCAGTTCATTGCTGAAACACTAAAGGTGGAGCAATCAAGGTTTTGACAGATGTCTTTGCAAAGTTAATACAAACAGGACATTGCCTGCAAGGAAAGAAAATAAGACCTGAGGAAGTAACTCTTTTCTAAAATTAGGAAGCTTAAAAACACCACAGTGAGGAAAATATGCAACTGTACTTATCAAAAGTGCAGTGTTGTCAAAAGCTTTGACAATCCAACGCCCACAGTTTGTGAACCCAGACTATGACAGATTAATTGACTTATTCACAAGAGGCAAGGAGGAGTTCTGTTTTGTGTGTAAAAGTTCCCATTGAAATTTGCTTACTAACCAAAACTTTTGTATGCACAATTTTGGAAAACCCAGACACTACCAACAATACCACTGAATTCTG